ATAAGAGCCGAGTTTCTTTTTCCTCCGTTCCTTCTAGTCCCAAGAAAAGACAAAAAGTACATTGGATAGAAGGGTAAAAAAACAATAAAACAGGGGTGAATCCCGACATTAATCGAACCAAACCTTTCTAAAACGTAAGCAAGAGGAACAAATCGTACCATCCATCAAATATGAAAACAACCAACCCGCTCATGAAGCCATTGGAGTTCCGTTCTGCCGGCTACTGGGCGTGACACTCCGATCTTGGGAACTGGCCTGCTCTGTTGTCGGTTGTGGCGTTGAACCCTGTCGGGCCGCAAGCTGCAGCTCTCGTCTATTTTTTTCCATTAAAACAGCCTGCTCAGCAGCACTGCGGGCATAAGTCATGGCGGCCGCCGAATTGGAATAAGCACCAGACGGTGGCGGCGCTTGGTTGGAGGGAAAATTTCCGTAGGGTGGGGGCTGCTGCTGCGGCATGTATCGTTGCTGGGGATTGGCGGATCCCGGGGTCATATATGGCGTTCGTGGAGCAGTGTAAGCAGGTGGTTTTTGAGGGGAGGCACTTCGTCCAGCTGCGTATGCGGGATTATATCCGGGCTGTCCAGGTCGCGGCGTGTATGGTTGCGGAGAGGTTTGGGCGGCAGGTGTTCCTTGTTGCGCCGCGTAGGGATTATACCCATTTTGCCCCGGCCGCTGGAATTGCCCTTGGTTGTAGGGGGTAGGCTGTGTATATCCTGGGACGAAGCCTGGTCGCTGAGATGGTGTTGTAGGGGGGCGCGCGCCCGTATAGCTTTGTGGATGTCCTGGAGTGTATGTTGTAGGTCCCGACATCGAGGGTTGTCTCCCGCTATAGTAGGGAGCCTGAACACCACCCTGTGGTGGCACTCGCGCGTTATGAGAATAAGCTCGCTGGTTGTACCCTGTCGGGTAGCCTCCAGAACGCGATGGTGTCCGATTAGCGGTGCCTGCCATCGGGGCCATGGCTGCCGCTCGTTCCTGTTGGATCGTGAAGTCGTCCTTCTCCATCGTTCCCTGATAGTCGGGGTTCTCGATCACCACTTTCTGGCTGATGTTCAACTCGTTCAGTTGGTCGCCGTTCAATTTCGCGACAGCATAGGGGGGCAAGTTGGAGATCAGGGTGGCTAAGCTGGTCCGCAGTGTCTCGTACACATCCATTTCGGCCTCAGAAGGAGCACCTGATGTCTTTGAATCGGAACCTGTCTTTTCCTTAGGCTCGGTGGTCTGGCCGCCACCAGCGGTTGGAAGTTCAAGGTTGCGGTTTCTCTGATATGAGCTGAGGGTCTCCAGCAGATCCGAGACGTCACGCAGCATGTCTTCCAGGTCCTGCTCACGCTCTTCAGCTTCCTGCTCCTCCTTTGGCGCCTCGGTGTGAGAGACGTTATCGGCGAAGTCTTCTGGGTTGAAGTTTTTCACCATCTCTTCCAAGGTACTCTCGTCAAGTTCACCAATGTTACCGGGACGTTCTGAGGATGCATCCTCGTCCTGGTAAGGCAGTGATACTAACGTGTACAGGCGCTTTGCACCCCGTCTGCTCCACCATACCGAATCTTTTGCATCATGTTGTACAATAGCCCCCGAGCTGTCGAATGAAGGAGCGAAAGACGAGTAAACACCCTGCAGAACAGACGCGTCATCGTCAATCCACATAGCGGGATCCTCTTCGACCCGATCCTGGACATGTTGTTGCGACGACTGTTGTTTCTGGCGACGATTCCAGTAAGAAGGGGAGGAAGTAACACCGCCGTACTGGAGCCATTGACCCGAAGGCAGAGGCGCGAGGCAGTAGTTATTCCGATCCCCAAGGAAAGCCTTGTAGTTTGTAATCGCCTCGAAATTATCGAGCCACCCATTGATACTCCGAGAGGAAGATCTTGCTTTACGCGGAGGTTCCAAGTGAGGCAAGTTCTTTTGAGGAGCGAACACCTCACCGAAAGTCCTCTTCGGCTCCTTCGACTTAGCCTCCGCATTGTAAGGGACCGCTTTAGTAGTCGTGATCCCGTTAGGCAAGCCCACCTCGCGGAGGGGTGCTTGTACTTCCACGTACTTTTCCGTTGATGGATCATCGGAGGGCAGAGGGACTTTGACGGATTTTTGAAGGCTTGAGTAGAGCTGTTTTGGGTTCGCGGGGTTTCCAAACAACGTCAAGACCATGTTTTCATTTCGAGTCTCAACATTCGGAGTGGTGGTTTCCGCAGGCACTTCGGTATCATCCTCAGATACTTCAGCTTTGATGGTCGACTGGCTCACCTGGGCCTGACGAACAAGGCTGTTCAAAACCTTCTTGAATGCGGCTATGCGATTCACGGTTTCTGACAGGGCCGATCCGTCTGCCTGAGTACCAGCGGCCAAGGTTTTGTTTCTCTCAATCACAGCCGCGGAAGCCCTCTCAATGTCACTCAAAAACTCAGACAGGGAGTTGTATCGATCCGAGGCGACCCGTGTTTGGATACTTGTAGGTTCATCTCTGTCGCTCGACACTTTCGCGCGTTTTGAACGAGGCTTCGCAGGGGAACTCGGCAACGTACAGGACAAGAGATGGAGTTCCGTGTCATTTCTGAGATAAAGGGTCAGCCATGAGTGCGCGGGTCGAACCGCGGGAGGCGACCGAGAGTACTTACTTGCTGAGAATATCAACAAGATTGCGCAGGTTCTCTTGGAGTTTTATTTTCTCTTGCGCCTGCGATGTGGCGGTATTGGGGTCTTGAGAAGTCTTGTCCTCATGGCTCGATACGCGCTTGCGCTTACCGGGTGTAGCCAAGGCAGGGGGGTCGGGGGTGGCGGTGGTGAGTTCGCCGTTTGTTGCCGACATCGAGGTCGTTGCTCCGCTATCGTCTGCACTCATGGTCCGGAGTCGCGCCGAAGCTGCAGGGTTTCTTTGACGCGAATCAGAGGATAGTTCGTCACGATCGGCCGTCGCGGGTTGAATCTGAAATCCCGGAGACGCGACCGAGGAGTTGGAATTCAGGGTATAAATTGAATGAGCAAAAGTCAAAAACCGAGGAGACTGTGCTCGAAACAACAGAAGGATGGTTGCGTGTTTTCGTTGATCTCCGAAGCGGATGCGCCAATCGAGCGAGGATAACCAGGGAGGAAAACCACGACGGAGAGGGAACAATCAAGCCACCCCAACGAGAGTGAATTGACAACAAACAGGACCGAGCATACGTCGATATGCACGCAAGGTAAGAGGCCGGTCGGGGGAACAATGAGCCTGGGAAAAAAAGTGAATGCAGCGGGTGCCCAGCGGGAGGACAAAGCGAAAGAGGGAGATCCTCAGGTTGTTCCTATTGCGCGCCAGGCCAAACCCGTGACGATCCCGCACGTGACCTCTCTTTTTCTTGCCCGGCGCGGCCGCTCTGCCTATACAATTTCCATTCCTCATCCGCTCTCTCTCACTCTTTCTCTCTCTCCCCGCTGGCATTATCTCCCTGCAGACTCGTCAGTTCGGAGGGACGATATTCATGGATGTCATCGGTCTTGAATCATGTCCCGAGCCGCTCGAGGGTCTGCTCTCTGAGAGCGGCGCATTTGTTTAGTAGCCGTTCACGGCCCAAGGTACCAAACCGAATTCCAGCTCATTGATCATGCTTTGTGTTATACTAATCGGTTTCACTTGCCCGACAGGATCATCTAGGCGATTGCCCTTTACGTCCTTTGAATCACAACATATCCTCGAACTTGCCGTCCAACACCGCGGCTAGTCCTCTCAACTTGTCCCGATCCGCGAGCTCCGTCGGTGGTCCAGCCTCTGCGCAGTTCGGCTTTTATAACGACCAACATCACGGATCGGTACCAGAGGCCTCTATATCTTCCAGCAAATTACATAGCGAGCGACGGCTTGACTCACGGCTGAATCCGCTCCCTCTCTCTCCAGGTGCAACCCACGAAGGGCGTGATACAGCGGACACGTTCAGCTCAATAGGTCGCGACTCGAGTACGTCTGAGTTTGAGACCGATGAAAAGATTCCGTTGGCATCAACTGGCAACTCCACCGTCGACCGGAAGCCTGGTAAACGTACCCGAAAGAGATTCGCGACGGATGTGCGCAACCCTCGGAGATTGTCGAAGCGGCTTCCCGGGGCCTTCTCACCAACTCCCACCGAGTATCTTATCGATACCCTGCAAAATGTCATGCACACATCCAAAGGCATCGAGCGGCATTGGACGTACGCCGCTCGAAATCCCAGCGACCATCTTATGGTCCCTTTGACAAGGGAACAGAGAATTAGATTCAAAATTCACCATCGAATGACTCTACAACAAATCCTCGCCGATTACATATACCGTGTGGATCGACTCCTCGACCAAATGGGGAGAGAGGGCTCTTCAATACAAACGGAATCGGACCTGGGTCTTGCTTTGCGCAAGGTCTTTTTGACCAGGGAACACCGCAAATATCTAAAGGCGCGCCACTACAGCGTTGCAGATGTCGTGGCGTGGGCGTGGATCTTGAGGAGCGAGAGCCCGTACCAGGCGATTCTGCGGCTTTTGATATTCAATGAGCAACAGACAAAAAAGAAAAGGAAACATACCACGCATCCAACGGTCCCGTCATTCATCCCCCTTCTTCTTCTACGACAGAATCTCGACACGAAGTCATTCAGATTGCTCCTAGTATATTCCCTGCACCTTATGACAGGCCAACACCTTCCAAACACTTCCCAGTCGATCAATGCAACATCGGAGACTGTTTTCGACCAGGCACGTTCGTCTGGGAAGACCCAGCCTTTGCTTGATCCTAACACGTGTGCCACGTTCGCTATCCGCTTGCTCCACCATGCGCGCCAGCTGTGGCCTGAAGCCCAGCTGCCTATTGCCCGCGCATATTCATTTTATTTGTCCACCTTGGAATCGAAAGAGAGTGGTGGTATGACACGGAGGAGCATTCAGGTCATGGCGAGAACTTCGAATCAACTTCTTCGGTTACTCTCTTTGCCCTGTAAGATTGGTCCTTTCGCGTCAGCTCCTATCCAGCAGGAGGCACAATTTGAGCTCCTCAAAGCAATGGCAAGGAATCGCCCTGTTCTGCCTGTCACGCGGCAAGGCTACCAGGCAATAATCGCAGTTCAGCTGGCCCATAGAAAGACGTTTGATGAACGGCAATCTGCGGAACTGAAGGCGCCATCCTGGCCACCATGGAAGGAAAATAAACTGGGCATCGACTCTCAACGAGGGATCGAAGGGATGAAGAGCCGCGCTATGCGAGTCATGTCGCAAATGAAAGAAGCCGGATACGCACATAGCCGTTGGGAAGAGGTCTCTAGCATCCTCGCTGGCTGGGACACCGACAAGAGTCCTACGATTCAAACTCGGACGTTGTCTCGCCATCCGGGGCTTCTCCGTGACCCTACGGGGGATCACTCCCACCACGCAATATGGGAAGCCCGAATCCGTGCCACAAGGACTGTGCGAGAAGCATGGGCCTGCTTCCTTGCCTATCAAGACCAGGGCCTGCCTCCCCGGCGGTCCATTTATGCAGCAATGGCAGAGAAGCTGGTGTATCGAAGCAAGGCCGTCAAAAGCAACTTCGACAACGGAAGCCGCGCGTTACCGGGCGATGGTCCGGAAGTGTTCCCAGAGCCTTCCTCTGCACGAGATTTGATATATGTCTCGACCGAGCCGCCTACATTGAATGAGCTGCTCGAGAAAATGCTCTCTGAGGGCATCAGGCCTAGTGGTAGATTTCTTGCACTCCTTCTGCGATCGGCCCCCACTCTCAGCGCTGGGCTGCATTATCTTACCAGTAGCGATCTGTCCGACGGACAAGTGAAGGCATTGTGTGCTGATTGGGCGGAGCGCTCTGCATATGAAATCCCAACCCGCAAAGCTCTTGACGAGATACCTGACTACCTGTTCTCGTCTTTCATATACTTGCTGTGTAAATTCTCGGACTTGAATGAGTGGGTTGTGCGATACGGAGGTCGCACGGCCGACGCCTTTCCCATCGCCATGAATGGCCACTCAAAGGATTGGGTGCCAGGTACCACGCCCAGTCATTCAGAATCCTTAGGCCTGGGCCTAGATGGCCACTATCCAAACACTTTGGCCCATGCAGCTCGGCTTCTCAAGGCGAGAAGCTCTCGGTCCCCCCAACCCTGGGTCCATATGCTCTTTGCATTGAAAAGGGTGCGCATTACTGCTCGGCCTCGCGGTTTATCACCCGGCACGCAACTTATCCTGGCCTGGCATGAAGTCATGGAAGTCACTGGCTGGATGAAGGAGCGTGGAATCGATCTGGGATTACAGGGATTCCAGGCTCTCTGCAAAAGCTTTTCGAGGGCCGTCGTTGCCGGAGTGAAGGATGCAGACGCTGCTGAAGAGGGTCTGGCGCTGGTCAGCCAGGCCAAGCAGCGGGGTGATCTATCTCGTACCGAATTGAGTGGACTGTGCGTAGAGGACATGGTTAACAGCGGCCTCACCCTCCTCAAACAGCAATTCGACCAACTTGTCTTCCCTGACTCCAAAACCGCCTCCATGGTTGAACATACTCTGACTTCTCTCCAACAAAAGACCGACGGCCAAGTCACACTGCCGGCTCTATGCCGTGTGCCTTCGCCTGCCGTCTTGCATGCATTTGTCCGATCACTTGGATTGGCCGAGGACTATGATGGATTGTTGAGCCTGCTCCGTTGGATGAGCCAGTATGCAGGGCCATTGAAAGAGGCGTCAGATGAACGGATGAACGGGGATCGAATCATGCGGCGGACGGTGGTCGGTATCCGCGCGTTCCTCGAGGGGTGCTGGGGCAAGCACTCTCTACAGTCTACGCCAGGTGTGATTGAGGCTTCGGATGGGATGACTTTCACTGACCCTAATCTGCAAGAAGCATACGACATCATCACTGCGACTGGTGTCTGGGGTCCATGGCCCAGTGACGAGGAAGTGCAAGAGTACCTTGCGGTGCACTGGGGATGACCAGTTGTTGTATTATAGCGTGTATATATATAGATCTTTTTGTAGCATCAATATGCATGATACCCATTCATTTACGTCGTTCTGCTTGGTCGCGAAGTTGTAGACAGCGCTTATCCGCGGCAAAATCGTCGATGTTCCCCGCACCCGCAGCAGCTTTCCCCACACCTCCGAACTCCCTTGATTTCTGCACGAACATTTAATTGTTGCTCATCCCACTCCTCCCAAACTTCTTTTCGACTTATCCTAACCGACCACTTCGCCCGACATACTCTATCGATACATTATGCCGCCGCGTCTCGCGTTCCCCCGCACTGTTCAAGCTCGGCCCGTGTTGAGTTTGCGCATCCGAGTGGCCCGGTTCAGCACCGAGGCCGACGATGCGGTGCTCAAGATCCAACAGGTCCCTGCGCCGGGGTCGGGGAACATTCGCGTTTTACTCCTTAACCGGCCCAAGGCCCGTAATGCACTGTCGCGGGGTCTCGTCGATAGCCTGGCGAAGCAGGTCCAGTCGATTGCCGCCGAGGGCGGCTCGGGCCCAACCCGGGCGCTGGTCATTGGCAGCAACACGGATTCGGCATTTTGTGCGGGCGCGGATCTGAAGGAGCGCGTGAAGATGACCCAGAACGAGTAAGCCCCGTCTAATTGTTTCCGATCGCTGGGCTTTACGTCCGCCGGCGCAGATGCTAACGGACCTCGCGTCGTAGGACGAGCGAATTCCTCACCCGACTCCGCGGCACATTCACGGAACTCGCCACCCTCCCCATCCCGACCATCTCGGCTGTGTCATCGACCGCGCTCGGGGGCGGCCTGGAGCTCGCCCTGTGCACGCACCTGCGCGTGTTCGGGTCGTCCAGCATCGTCGGGCTGCCGGAGACGCGACTGGCGATCATCCCCGGGGCGGGAGGCACGTACCGGCTGCCGGGCGTGATCGGGCTGAACCGGGCGCGCGACATGATCTTGACGGGACGACGGGTGTCCGGGCCAGAGTCGTACTTTATGGGGCTCTGCGACCGGCTGGTGGAGATCCTGCCGGAGGAGGAGCAGAAGGAGGGCCGGGCGCGCGAGAAGGTGCTGCAGGAGAGCATCAAGCTGGCGTTGGATATCTGCGAGGGCGGACCGGTGGCAATTACGCAGGCGCTGCGGGCGGTCAATGGGAGCTGGCGCGGCGAGGCGGCGGAGAATGAAGCGTATGAGGGGGTGATGGTCACGGAGGACCGGGTGGAGGCACTCCGGGCATTTGCTGAAAAGAGGAAGCCTGCGTTCCGGGGGCGATGAATGAATCATTGGTCAGATGAGAGGGTTTGCCACTGAATGTGTGTATGTGTGTTCGTTATCGTTGTATTCTATTTGTACGGGATTGCCTAGATGGGTGAGTCAATGAACCGGATCTGGTTTCTGCTGGAGATGATGGGTCTGAGTCATCTGAAGCGCATCTAGATTGTATTGCTGTTGTTGTCATGGTAGATCGGTGGTAGGCGTAAAGTATGGGGTGCATCTAGACTGAAGAATAGGCGGCTTAGACTGCCACAGGGCAGGTTGCGAACCCTGGATCTCCCCGGACGGAGCCGCGGATCCACTCGTTAATATCTACATAGAACTATTTAAAACAAGTACATCGTACAGACGAATACTACTTGTACTATTTTCAACTAACACTAAGGTGTTTCTTACTAGGAGAAAGTATAGCGAGCGCAGTGAAATGGCGGTACCTACATGATGCAGCCATCGGATGTCATGCAGTGAGGCTATGTCCCGCATTTACGAAACCTGTGGAGAATAATAATACCCCAAGCGTAGAATGTGAGGAGTCGAGGTAAGCACTCCAAAAAGAAACGACAACTCGTATTCTGTCGGGCGAGCAGTCGCCCGTCACAGCCACGATGATTTACAAACAGTCTGAGGGGAGGTCAGAAGATGGCGATGAATAATTGTCGATCATAGATCGATTTACTGGGCACTGTCGGAGTGAATAGAACTAGAATAATAGTATAGACAATAGAATAGTCAATAGACAATACTCTCCCAACAATAGGATAGTCCCGATCGAATACTATATAAAACACACCGTCCCCCGTCTGCAACCACATTAATAGTCAGGAACCACCCGTGGAACATCTCTCACCCTAAATCCTCCTGAATTCCCCCTAAATCCATCGATCGACCGGCGCTAGAGCCAGCAGGTCAGCGAGGCTGGAGGCATGACCTGCTGTTGGTCAGCCCCGGGCGAGTCAAGGCACCAGGAACTCCAGTCATCTGCTCCCGTCTGTCGGCTCCGTATAAAGTAGTCCATTTCTTCCCCTCCACCTTCTGCCTTCTGCCTTCTGCCCCCCCCACAATCACTCCTTCTGCTGTGCACTCCCTCACACTCACTCCCTTACACTATCCGACCATCACCATTTCACCACGCTGGCGTAAAGCCGCCCCAGCCTCCCCCTGATGACGGGCATCGCCTCCAAAATCAGGCGGATCGGCCCGACCCCCGTGTACACCTCCCCCGACCCCAAGGTCGACATCGTATTTGTCCACGGCCTGAACGGTCACCCTTACAACACATGGGCCACCACCGACCCCGACGTGTTCTGGCCTGTCGATCTGCTGCCCGAGGTGTTGGCCCGCGTCGGCGTGAGGATCATCACCTATGGATACAACGCCAACGTCTCCTCCTTCTCCGACAGCGTGTCCAGCGATCACATCCACAACCATGCCGAAACACTCGCCTCCAGTCTGGCCGCGAACCGCAGCCTGAAGAACTGCTCCGATCGTCCGATCATCTTCGTCTGCCATTCGCTCGGCGGCCTGGTCGTCAAGCGCGCCCTCACCTACTCCAAGAATATCCAGAATGAGCGAACGGAGCACATTCGCTCCATCTGGGTCTCCACCTATGGCATCCTCTTCCTCGGGACGCCGCATCTCGGCTCTGACATGGCCAAATGGGGTGTTCTCCTGCAGAATATCTGTTCCGCCGTGATCCCCAAAAAAGTGATGGATTCGTCGTCGAACCTGATCAGTGCGCTCAAGACGAACAACGAGACCCTGCAGAACATCAATAGTCTGTTCGCCGAGGACATGGGCCGCTATCACATCTACTTCTTCCATGAAACCCTCAAAACGGACGTCCGGGGCACCCGTGAGCTCATCGTCGATGAGAGCTCCGCCGCCCCTCACGCCGAGGGCGTCGAACGCATGGGGATCGAGGCCAACCATCGCAACATGTGCAAATTCGAGGATGAAATGTCGCCCGGGTATGAGGCCGTCGCCGCCGCCCTGTTGCGCTACGCAGGCGACGCCCCCAACACCATCGCCGCCCGCTGGGTCGAAGAGAAGCAGACTCGACTACTCCGGAAGAAGCAGAAAGCGGAGGAGATCTTCACTCATCGAGGTCCGTGACTTCACTTTCTGTCTCTATGCAACCCTGACTGACGCCGTGGCAGAGCGAGAAGATATCATGGAAAGGAGCGCTCCAAATCTGCCCACGAGGGAACCCCCTGGTAGGACTCACTTACTTTCTGCATCTGCATCTGAGGAACCTGTCACGTTGAAGAGCTATGAGATCGAGGAAGAACCTGCTAGTAAGCGGTTTTAAAGTGACGAATTTCATTTGTGTGTCTTGTATTGTGCTTTTGCACTTCTCCCTAGTATAGAGAGAAACAATGGGGGAAAAGAAGAAAAGAAAATGGACCCTGCTTTCCTCATGATCATTATCGCTCCGTGCCATTGTCTTGCCTGCAATTCCGTCCGCGTTTCTTGCAGTTCGTGTATATCCGCGTTCTCTGCTTTACAAAATGCCACCGCAGTCAGATTGCTGACTTGTCTCCAGATAGAAACCCTAGGCAAATCACCGATAACCCGCATCATCATCCAAGACTCCTCGTAGCACCCCCCGGTTTCCATCCGAACGCCACGTTCTACGGGATGGAAAAGGAACTGGACATCCTGCATACCAGACTCTACCGAGCAAGGAAGCGACCTAATCACCTCACGGCCGTCTTGATTAGCGGAGTCCGTGGCTCAGGGAAATCACATCTGGCCCGACAATATGTCTGGACCTATCGCGATTGCTATCCTGGAGGAATTTACTGGATTGACGCCAAATCCCCGGAGTCCACATTCAAATGCTTCTGGGATATTGCACAGGCCATTTCGCAAATCGCCGATGACCATGAGTTCTACCTACCGGATTCCAGCAGGTCGCATGGCTTCGTGGAAATCGTACGGAACTGGTTCCAAACCCACGATGGTTGGCTGATGGTGTTTGACGGGATTTCCTTTGCTTGTGACGATGATCTCAATAACTTCAGGCAATTCCTTCCCTTCAAAGAGAAGTGCAGCATCATATACACCTCTGTGGATAGGACGCTGAGCAAGAAGCAACGCTTGTATGAGCCTTATTGCTTGAAGATGCCGCCCCTCGAAGTTAACGATGCGTGCCGGCTCTTGTTCAAAGACATGCGCATTAAAAATCCGACCAAACAGCAGATCCGCAAGGCAACAGAGCTGGTCAAACACTACGGCTGCCTCCCACTTGCTGTGCATGCAATGGGGCATCACTTGAACAACATCGCCAAGCCGCTCGAGAAGTATCACATCGATTCTCACCTGACCGACAAGAAGCTCGCAGAGCCCTTCCTGAGTATCATGCATGATCTCTACCGCCAGGAGTATTTTGAGGCGCTGAACCTGATCAATCTCCTTTCCTTCTTCGGCCACGACATTCCCGTTGGGCTGATCAGCTTTGGCAGAGCTTCACTGGAAGCCTGGAATGTCCAGATTTTGACAAGTAGCGGGCCGGGGGAAGGCCCAGATATCGATACCACGCTGGGAATTCTCATCCGGTATGGCCTGATCGAGCGAGTAGCGGTCCGATATGCCGTGCAAGCTGTTTCTCCGCGGACCGAGAAGGAGAGTATTCTAGACATGAAGGCAGTTCAACCAGAACTCTCCGAATCGCAAACAGAAAGTAGCAGTCAGGAGGCGACTCTTTCCATCTACGCCAACTCAAGTTCTATCGACCGGATCAAGATCCACAGTGTCGTTCAGGGATTCTGCCGAGATGAGCTGAAGATCATGGACGAGGAGAGGAGGACGAAACCGGCCCCCAACGCGGAGAAAGCGGTCGCGGGATTCTTCGATTCCTGGCTTGTTGTTGCTACTCGAGTCCTCTGCACGTCGTATGAAAGCGCGCAAAACCGCATGAGCGGGGACGATCACGGCCTGGTGCAGGACTACAGAGAGTACGAGACCCATGCATCCAGGCTCGCGGACCATTTCCCTAAACGGAGCCACTCTCATGAGCCAAAAATCGTCCGTGAGGCGCGCGAGGATCTGAGGCAGATCAGACGGAGTATCAGTAATGAGATCGAGCGAGCCTCACCCAGCTCTTCGCAGGAATCCATTCGGAAGCACCGCTCAGTGTTTGACCGTTCCAGCAGCTCTTCGTCCTCGATTCCAGATACTGCCACCCCGGAAGACGGTCCTTCTCGGCAGCTAACGTGGGATACCAACGAAGTGGTTCCTGAGGTGGAATCTCCTTTAGAGATGCCTAGGGTCCCGCCTAACGTCAGTCTGAGACCATTCCTCCCTCATATATTTCGGGATTCCAGCACGGAAAAGGAGATTGGATATGAGACTGATGGAGAGAACGACAACTACTTCCATCGCATCTCACCAACACCATCTCGCACAAGTCACTCGACGGAACGCCCGAGATCGTCACAAACTGCCGTCCCGCTTCATCGCAGTTCGCCAGAGCCGTCGTCCCATGCAAGCCACACGACGGAACTGCCGAAATCCTCGCAACTCCCTAGCCCACAACAGACAGATGATCAGGAATGGCATGTTGTAAGACGCCCTACCAAGCCCAAGTCGAACAAGGAGAAGCCGTTGAAACGAAAACCAAAATTTCCGCGCGCCCTCCGGCGTCCGAAACTGGCTGCTCCTATCCTCAAGGTCGAAACTGCGTCAGGGAGAAGCGCATCCGCCGGTGACATTGGACAGAGGCGGAGCTCATTGTCCGCCGAAGAGGCTCTCATTGCTGTACATAACGCAAGTCCTCCTCAGCACAAAGAGAACGTACCGCCAACCTACGCCACCGTCGCAGCCAGATCCGTGCGCGATACCGATCCCTTCTGGAAACCACGGTCATCATCAACCCCTGGGGGCCATCCTGGCACGTTGCCACTGACAACCAAGTCATCGGGTGATTCGCTATTTACTCGGTCGACTAACCTGTATGGAGCATCGCCTTTCTCTCCCGAGCTGAGACCGGAGCGACTGAGCCAGTCTACGTACAGCGAGCCTGGCCATCTAACCGACGACTTGAACGCTTTAGACCTGAGGACGAGCCTCAATGCACGATATCATCTGACTGCCAGACGCGTAGCTCCACTCGACATGTCCGCCAGCACGCCGTCCATAGGGACACTGCCTCCGCTGCCCTACGACAGCAACATCGAGGTCGGCTACGCGCCCCGAGTCACCGGGGTCACCAAGCCCACGACTCTCAGTCATTCGACGACCAACGTTACCTCGATCTCGCATCCCTCGGCCTTCATGCCGGGTGTCTCGCGACCGCCGTCAGTAACAGCAGAGGGGCCACCACCTCCCGGCTACGCGTCTGATCCCGCGCCCGAGCCCATGTCACGCGACCTGTCAGCGCAGTCGCATCACTCGTGGGCAACCGAGCCCGTCCGTGTCTCCAGGATCGCCCCCATGCCAGGCCCTACCCAGCCACTAGCCAGTACGCTGGCCATCCCGCAGCAACATGTGCTGTCGGGGACGGGGAGCTGGGCGGGCGAGCTCCATCCTCTTCAACCGCCAGTGGCACCCGCCGCGCAGACTCTGTACCTGGGTGCGCATCGGGTGGACATTGGCGACCCTCACCCGCGCTTGGTCGGACCCCGGCCCTACGACATTGCGCCGTACAACCCCTACCATTCCAACCTGTCGGGGCCGCTGATCCACCACGCACTCCCCATCCAGCAAGCACAGGAGCTGCAGATGCTACGGCCCCGGAGCGGAAGCTCCCCAACACATGCAGCGTTCAGCGCGAACTTGTGAGTGCGGCGTTGGTCTGGTGTAGGGCGCGTGGGGCTGGCCACGCATGGGGTTCATATGCAGACGGCGGGGAGTAGTTCTCTATGGCTTTCGCAAAGCGCATTGATTTGTTTTATTGCATTGGACGCAAGCATGGTATAGTGTGCATTGTTCATGCCAGGGTTTGAATAGGGAGGAGCATGATATGGCGTTCTTTTTCGACAGGGCAGTGGTAAATACCCATGGTTGCATATAGTGGTTTGAGCCTGTTCATAATATCACTAGAGTGATGGGGCGATAGATTAGATTTATATATCCATAATAGCATCCCTGACATATATTTCTTGGAGAGTAGTTGGAAGAGTGTCTACACCTAATATAATGAATATAGTGTTCTTGTCTAGACCCTGAATTCCCAGGCGATGGACTGGCCCAACATCAACGCATCACCTCGACCCCAACCCCAGCGACCACGATTCAGCCACCAGCAAACCAACAAACCGGACGCATACATCATCATCAATCCGATCTGGTCCATGGTCGTTTTGGCCGGCGTCTTGCTTTGGTCGCCAATGAAGGGCTCCACTACTGACGGGTGAACGACGTAAGAGGAGCCGCGGGGGGTATGACGTCGACGGGGGTCCAGATGAAGTATATAAATCCACACCATACTAGCTCTGCACTTATCACTAGAAAATACTATTGTATCACATAGATCGATTCATCTATCTGCTCCCTCATCCTCAATTGAACACCTTTTCCATCGCTACATCCACCATGTCGTTCCTCACGCGCTTCACCCCCCTGACTGCCCGCGTGGCGTCTACCCCTGCGATCCGCACTACTCCCGCCCTGGGCGTTGGTGCGGCGAGATCGATCTCGTCTACCGCTCGCCGACAGTCCGGCCCCGTCGACGCTACTAAAGAGACCCTGAAGAAGGCGGACCGGGTGGTTTCCGATGCTGCAGTGAAGGGCATCGAGAAGGGCGGTATGTTTCATGTTTCCTGTGACGCGCAACTGTGGCGGCACGCTAACCCCAGCATAGAAAAAGCCGCCGGCAGATCAAGGACACTGTCGGCAAGACGACGGGAGAGGCCTAGGCCCAGGCTTCGGAGCTCAGGGCCAGGTCTCCATATGAATTCAAGTTAAGAAATGAAATGAAACCCGTAGTGAAGCTGAGGAAAGGTCAGGAGGCCAGGGTTATTGACGTGGCATACCAGGGAGTA